ATAAAATCATTATTGCTTTCTTAAAAACACATAAAATCGTATTATAACATCGACAGAGACAAATAATAAAACAGAACATTAAAATCGAGATGTGTCTCGCTGCATTACGCAAGTGCTCTTCTAGTAATAAATAATAAATAAATGGTATGTATATAGGTTGAGTCATATATGTGAAAATCATGATTATGATATCTTTGGAATGTGTGTATATAAGTTAAATAACACGATTACTATAAAACAAATGTGTACAATGTCTACTAATTAAGGTTTGATTTGAAAAATATGTTCAATAATTCAACATCTCTTACATATGTTTGCATCATAAATGATGTTATAGTTTATGTTCGAATAATTCACAACCTAATTTGATCCACGTGTCTAGTTGTCGACTCTGTTGGTGATTTGTAACGCACCAAGCTTAAAGCAGAAGATTGATTTAATAACTTCGAATTCGACTTAAAATTGCGGTTTTTCTCTGCTGGTGCTCAAAAATATTTTTCTTTTTAGACACAGGTTTTGACGGTAGAAAAAATAAAATGGAACTCTAGTAGGGTTTTTTCTTTACAACCGATGACAGAGATTGAGAGATATAGAGATATGAGGAATAGTGGAAGGCAAGAAAACCTACCGGTGATAATTGAAAAGATTGGAGTTAAGTTTAGAAATAAGTTGTTTGTAAAATTACAAAAATAGCCTAAGTCATTGTGAGATAGATACATTCGCAATATAGGACAAAAAGGGTTTTTGTCAATTGTCACCTCATCCTTCATGGGTTTTTCTCTTATTTATACATACATACATACATACATACATACATACATACATACATACACATACACACACACACATACATACATACATACATACATACACACATACATACATACACACATACATACATACATACATACATACATACATATATATATATATATATATATTAATAATAAGCATTTAGACCAAAAGTCTTAAATGCAACCTATAAAGCCTAAAATACTTCCATTTTATGCATAAATTTAAAAAATCTATTAATTACAACTTCAAATGCATAAGGTACAATTGTTGATGCACACCACCAACATCCAAGTTGAAACTTACAACTTTGCTTTATTTCTTTTCAGCTTTCTTCCTTCCTTCCTATTAACAGAACAACAACTTTTTTTCTTTCTTTTCTTTGGTATGTTCACATCGTTATTTATTCATTCAAACTTTTATTTTACCTAATTTTTGCTCTCCTCTGCAAAAAGAAATGTCTTCAATTTTTTTTTTCTCAACACGCCATCTACAGGTCTTCCATTTGTTGA